CGCCCTCGCCGTACTGCTGGTAGGGGGGGATCTGGGGCGCCTCGATGATCAGCAGCCCCTCTGGTGACAAGGAGGCGAAGACCGTGATGGGGTCCACCTCGTAGGGCAGCCTGCAGGAGGGAAGGAAAGATGAGATGGTTTAGGAGCCGGGGGGGCAGGGCGGCTGCCAGCTTGCAGCGTGCCGCATTCCTGGTGGACATCGACCCTTGGGAAGCCCACGCAGGACCCCCAGCGCGTGGGGAACCACCAATGCCGAGCCCGCAGCCCCAGCGCGGGGCTCGGCAAAGCCTATGTTATTACTGCAGCGCCTGGGAATGTGCCGGGGATATTTAAAGCACCCTCCTGGCTGGTCTGGCCCCTGTGGGCGCTCTGTTTAATCTCCCCGGCAGATGTGTTTGACGGGATGTCACCCACCGCTTGTGCCGCCCGGGCTTCTGCAAAGCGGGAGTAAATCATCGCCTTGCCGCAGCCCACGTCAGCCGCGAGCCTTGCCCGTAAAAGGAGCCGCCGCGGCCGCCACACGCTGAGCAGGAGGGAGCATGGTGCTCGCCCCAGCTTTCCCGTGGGAGTTTGGGATGCGCAGGGCTCCTTTAGGGTGGAAAAGCAAAGCTGAGCTGCTGCCAGCCAAGGAAACCCTTCCCATGCCCTGGGCTTTGCTGCTTCTCCCTGTTAACCCCGTGAGCCCTGTGGCCAGGGGTCTGCCCCCTGCATGGGCGAAGCGCCGCTGTCGGGGCTCGCCTGCCTCCGGATTTGCCTTTCCTCCCTGCCCTTTGCCGTTGTTGTTGCCAAAGTGAGCCATCGCGGTGAGTCAACGCGATAGCAATCTAACTGACATCATTCAGATAGATAGAGAGATATATATACATTCACACACAGGGATGTATTTTGGGGCTGATGATGGTGTCAGCCCATTGTGCGGCGGAACCCCGGGGGATGTGCTGGCACCGTGAGCGTGGCTCCCTGCACCCCTCCTGCTCCCTCCACCCTGGCTAGCTCCAAATGCAGCCCTGAGCCTGGAGGAGACTGACAAAGCACCCAGAAAAAGACCTCGTTCTCTTTTACCTCCCTCAGGAAATCACCATGCGGCCTGAACCAGCCAGGCACACGCTGCAAAAGGGCAGATTTGGGGGTGAAAACAGGCACAGAAGTCCCTGCATGTGTGAGCTGGGGTGCAGGGACTGGCAAAGCTCAGCCCTTCACCACTGGTGGCTTCCCCATGCTTCCTGCGACCTGCCTGCACCGCAGGGATGGGGTCCCACAGCAGGCTAGCGACATTTGGGTGCTGGTCGAGGGGACGTGGTAGCCCCCCCACACCCCAGCCCCTTTGGCAGGGGAATGCCCCGGGGCTGGCTGGTACCTACTGGATTTTCTTGGTGAAGTTCTTGGAGACGATCCCTCCTTCCACCTGCTGCTCCTCGTGTTTGCCTGCAGGGAAGGGCAACACTCCATGTCATCACCTCACCGGGAGATTATTTTTTCCCCAACAAACAACAATAAAACCCAACAGGAAAGTTTTCAGAGGAGTTGCTTCCCTTCCCCAGTGCCAACCCTTCCCTCTGGGGAGGGCTCAGGGAGCCTCTCCTGTGTGGGGAAGGAGATGCTGGACGCAGCACACCCGTATTTCCAGCGAGAGCCTGGGGTCTCGCAGGTTGCCAAGGGCTGGGGCTTAAGAAAAAGTCCACAGATGTAATAAAACCTTTGGAGGTGGCGGCGTCCCCCCTTGTCCCGCTCCACAGGCTGGGCTCCCCTCCACCGCACTGTCAGGCTTGGGGGTCCCTGTGCCTGGAGCATCTCTGAAGTTAAACCATGCTGGCAGCTGCCCGGACCCCCCTGACCTCCATTTTTCCCCCTGTGATGCCATGAGCCCCAAATAAATACCCAGGGCCATGCTGCGTGGCAGCCCCCAGCCCCTCCCTGGGGACCCTGGCCCAGGGCATTTGGGGGCAATGTGGGATGTCAGTGCTGGGCTGGAGGGATGCTCAGGGCTGGGTGCCCGTGGGCACCCCGGATGTGGTGCACCCTGCACCCACTGTCCCCACCAGTAATTGAATTTTTAGGCTCATGCTTCCGGACGGCTCGTCCCCATGCTGGGGCCTCTCAGGGCTGGTTTGGGGTGGGGGTCGTGGGACAGCTGCGCCCAGCTTCCCAGCCCCGGAGCTGCCTCTCTCTCGGCCCCTTTAAAGGGAATCTCCCTCCATGCCGGCCTCACCCCAGCTATAATTAACTGCGCCAAGCTGGGGCCCCTCTTGGCAGCCCGCTGCAGGGTGCCACTGCCTGCAGTGGTGCCTCCCTGGCCGGCCGGGGTGGAAAGCGGGGAG